GAGAAATAGGTACCTTGAATAATTTTGAGTCCTAAATTTTATATTTATTATATGAATATTAAATTTTTTATGTTTATACCCATTTATTTGTTCTTGTTTAATACAAACTTGTAATGAATTTTGCATTTTTACAATTGCAATAAGAAATATTTTTGTTATTTACATTATTTACATCAGTATAGAAAGACTATTTAATTAAATAATTGTATAATTATAATATGTATACGTATCAACATAAAATGTAATGATCATAAAAATTGAACTTCCGAAGTATCAAGCCACCATGGCGCACCAACCTGGTATACATTTTCCATTTGCAAATTACATCGTTGGTTCAATTTCAAAAATTACTATAAAAATATAATACCTGTATACAAATAATTTTATTATTATAATAATATCAACATTATTAAAATTTTATTTGAACCTTGCCCAATATGTTTAGTGTGTTTAATTTGTGCAAAAGTTTATAAGAAAGATTGTTCTTGTCAACCAATAAAACTTGACAAGAAATATAAAAAGACTCCGGATATCTAATTAGCTTTTATAGTAAATATATTACACGAATAGGTGCTAATATTAAAAAAGTTAGATACTTCGTCGATTGGACTAAAAATTCAACTAAAGTCAAGATTCCAAAAAATTAAGACTAAATTAATATGTGTCAAAAATGTGTTAAAAATTATGATCAACACAATTAAAGCGAAACAGTAGATCTAACAATTAAAAATTCTCTGGAATCTCTATCAAATACTTTGAGTTATCTGACTTGTCTGAAGTGACCACAACTGATTCAGAAATTAATTGGATATTATTAATATGAAAGAACCTGAATCAGAAGCTATTAATACAAAAGAGCCTTTTATAAAATTGGTAAAAGTTTATAAAATAAAAATATATATAAATATATAAAATATTACCTTTTTGTGTATATATCCAAGTTGTAAGACTAATGTTACGTCCCAATCAAAGTTCTATCTCGGATTGTAATTGATACAAGTACCAGTCAGGTATTTCTTTCATTAAAACTTAAAGATAATTTATATCATTCATGTTTAAAGAATGTAGTTTTTCTGAAAGCGATGGAAGTTTTTCAATACAACCATATCTTTGAAAATGTACAAGAACCCGACTTATAGAAGACCTGCTAACACCCAAGTGTTTTGCTATTTTTCGAGTTAAAAGGCCTTCTAAATGAATGTGGTTTGAAAATATCATATTTTTTGAATTCAACAAGAGATGTGCATAATTTTTATTTATATTAGCCACCTGATTTTAAATTATGTATATATTATAGTATCTGAATTTATTATACCGAAAAATATGAATTATAATCATAATACTCCGATCACTATATCAAGATCACGGGGTATTATTATTACTAATACTGTACATGTTTCACACCGTGTGTAAAATTAGTTGTGTAACATCAACGTTTCCCCCCTGTTTTTATAATCCTGTAATCACATAACAAGTTTTGATTTCCAATTGTGTAAATACAACAATAATATCAACAATCTGATAAAAACCTCTATCTTATAATATGTTTAACGAAGACTTGCTAAAAACTTTTATTGTTACTATTAATAAGAAGGAGGAAATGAGTTTGCCTAATAAATTCTTTATACTATATAGTTTTGTTTTCGGTCACGTTAATATTTCTGAAAAGTAAAAAGTTATTAAAGAGACTCTACATAGATTTTTCGCGATTCATATGAAAAAGAGTATAATGAGCATTATGGTAAGAAAAATATACTATCACATATTGCTATAGAAATAATATCTGTGATGAGTTGGTTTGTCAACCCCTTTAAATATTTCTTTACTGAGCTGTAGTAGCGCTTAATAGGTTTGGCAATGCCATTTCATGGAGAAGTATCACAACATGTTAAAGATATATATGACACCACATTAACTTGGAGCAAAGTATGAATGAGAGTTCAAAGTAGAACAAAAGACTAACGAAAAAGACATACTTCATTTAAAGAAGCATTTTGCAATCAACTTGACAATATAATCAATGGTTTAATGAAATATTATTATTTGACTAAACAAGGAATTTTAATTGATAAAGACTTAAAAAAACCATGACAGTCTTTCATTGTTAAAAGCAGATTTCTCAAGCTTCTCAGAGCATCAATTCAGAATATCTGAAAATATATTGAATAAAAATTCAAAGCGGAATGAGAAAAGATGAATACTATCATTCAAAAGTAATAATCTTTTATAATTGTTTTTAAGAAATCTCAAGATTGAAATGCGAACTCGCGAAAAACAAAGATAAAATAGAATCGTTAGTTAATCAAAACAGAGAATTGTATAAAAAATACACAACTAAATAACAATTATTTTATCGAATGGTGTGAATTGTTAAAGAAAGAAAACTACTCTCTGGTTCAATGGGTAAGTTTTTTAAACATATATTATATTAAATTAAATATACCATATATTTAATATATTTTTTCATTATCCAGAATCTAGAGTTAAATGAAGAAATTGAAGGCTTGAAAGAAAAGAATAAAGAAATTGAAGGCTTGAAAGAAAAGAATAAAGAAATTGAAAGAGTTACTGAAGTTTTCGTAATTGTAGAATGAGCTTCATATATTTTTATCGAATAAATATATTTTTTGCATTTACAACCTTGTTCAAATTCAATATAACACTCCTCAAAAATACTCTACATAGATTTTATGGAATATAAAGAAAGTATATTTGTTATTTTCTTTCTTCTTTATAATTAGATATTCACTTTCTGTACTTTGTTTTTGTATAGAAAATCGGGGCGAGTCTTCTCTGAGTTATTACTGTGAAGAGAATAGATATATCTTTGTTTCTCAGAGTTATTGTAGTGGAGGAAGGCTCGACGCGATCATATGTGAAATAGAAGTCAATTGGGTTTCTCAGAGTTATGTAAGTATAACTAATATGCAAACAACTGTTTACATGTCAAGTTAATGATAAAGAAAACCCAAACTATATGAAGAAGTCTTATCGCCCAAACTGAAATTTTCAGTCAAGAATTTATATAAAATTACTTTGTTATTTTAAACCTCAATGATAATACGTATGTCAAATATTTGATTCAATCAAATCGATCAAATCTGAGAGGTTTTAAAGAATTCTGATTGTTTCTTCCTACGTGAATTCTATGGAATATAAGGAAAGTATATTTGTTATTTTCTTTCTTTATAATTAGATATTCACTTTCTGTACTTTGTTTTTGTATAGAAAATCGGGCGAGTCTTCTCTGAGTGATTACCATGAAGAGGATATATCTTTGTTCTCAGAGTTATTGCAGTGAAGGAAGGCTCGACACGGTCATATGTGTAATTGGGTCTCTCGGAGTTATGTAAGTATAACTAATGTGTGAACAACCGTTTGCATCTTAAGTTTATGATGAAGAACACCCAATCTACGAGAAAAAGTCTTATTATTCAAAACGAAATATTCAGTCAAGAATTTATATAAAATTACTTTGTTATTTTAAACCTCAGTGATGATACATATGTCAAATATTTGATTCAATCAAATCAATCAAATCTGAGAGGTTTTAAAGAATTCTGATTATTTCTTCCTATGTGAATTCTATGGAATATAAGAAAAGTATATTTGTTATTTTCTTTCTTTATAATTAGATATTCACTTTCTGTACTTTGTTTTTGCATAGAAAATCGGGTGAGTCTTCTCTGAGTGATTACCATAAAGAGGATATATCTTTGTTCTCAGAGTTATTGCAGTAAAGGAAGGCTTGATGCGATCATATGTGTAATTGGGTCTCTCGGAGTTATGTAAGTATAACTAATATGTGAACAACCGTTCGCATCTTAAGTTAACGATGAAGGACACGCAATCTTTGAGAAGAAGTCTTATTGCCCAAAATGAAATTTTCAGTCAAGAATTTATATAAAATTACTTTGTTATTTTAAACCTCAATAATAATACGTATGTCAAATATTTAATTCAATCAAATCAATCAAATCTGAGAGGTTTTAAAGCATTGTTTCTTATATAACTGATTCATTATTTTTTCCGTTACGGGTTCATCATCAGCCGATTCAATCATGTAACAGCTTTTATGAATTTTGGTTTATTAAATTTTCTTCACAGAAATTTCACAGCAATTTTAGTTTTAATGCTTTTCATTGTAATGAGAAATTTTATTCTTTTTGTTGTTAATGAATAAAACCCAATTTTTTATATCTACCAGTTATAAATTTTGTTTGTAGAGTAATGAATTACATTTTTAAATTTCATATATTCTAAAGTGGCTATTAATAGAGAATACGAAAAAATAATACAATTTTTAATGCTATAAAAATACAAAATTGGTTTAATGAAATAAATTTTTTCGCATATATTCGATTTGCAACTGTTATTGCTAACTTTTTAGGCCATTAATTACCTTAATTATTTTGGAGGAAAGGCAATGGCAGATGCTCTTTCCAAAACAATAGTTTAACTTATTTGAATCTTTCAAATAATAATGCTCTTTTAAAAACAAGAGATTGTCTTATTTGAATCTTTCAATTAATAATCTTGGTGCGGATGCAGGAAAAGCGTTGGCAGATGCCCTTTGTGAAAATAATATGTTAACCTTTTTTTTAACAACCTTGGGTTTGAGGATGGAAGTGTATCTTCAGAAGGTGGAGTAATATTGTGAGATGCCCTTCATAAAAATAATAGTTTAACTTCTTTTGATCATTCATTTAACGGCCTTGGAACTGAAGTGGGAAAGTATTGGTAGATTATCTTTCATTGAACAAAACCTTAACATCACTGCAATTTAATGATAATTAATTTGTTTCTGAAATAGAGAAAGTATTAAAAGAAAGATTCAACAAAAATGCGGTTTGTTAAATACACAGAATTTTTTTCTTCGGGTTTTAAATATTATTTTTATTTTATAGCTTATTTTCTTAGCTGGTTAACATTTTTGGTTTTACGTAGCATTTTGTTCTTTTGCAGCTAATATATTTTTTAGCAAATAATAAAATATTTTTACTTTAAGAAAGAGAGATTATGAAATAATTTAGACGCAAGCGTAATAAACAAACTATCATTCAATGATCAGAACAATCTAATAGTTTTGGTCCATTTGGGAAGTACTATTTTAAATAGTAATACAACATTTAATAATAAAAGACATGTTTTTATGAGTTTTCTACTTTTAAAAGTGTTCAATTTGCTCAATAATATTGAAATTCTACATAATTTATGATAAATACCCGTAAAGTGCTGCATATAGTACCCGGTGTGACAAATAATGTAGATCATTTTTTTAAAATATTATTTATGTATGCCATATGATGTAAACAATTGTGTAACTCACGTGATCTTTAATTTTTCACTATGTAAAAAATCGTGTCATACCGGGTACTGTATACAGCGCTCTACTGTCATTTTGCTTAAGATTATAAACATTTAGAAAAGGCATTCATTTGGTAATGCTATTATCTTGAATGAATTGAAATAATTAGTATAAAATGAAAAAATTTTACTGTAGAAAAAATGTTTTCATTAAATAGTTTTTTTGGAATTCAAAAATCTCAAATAAACACTGCAAAATTCAACCAAGAATATTGTTGAGAAGTTGAGAAGTTCTACATAATATAGTAACGGATATGATTCTTTAACAATTTACTAGTAATTATTGTATTGTTATCATTATCATAATTATTTACACAGGGGTTGGGATCCCGCGGCCTAGTGGTCTAGGCACCCAACCCTCCACGAGCGGGTTTCGGGTTCAAGTCCTAGTAGG